TCAGAGGCACCGGAACCTTCGAGTGCAGCCTGAGTCCCTGATGCAGGTGGATGGACATTTGCTGCTGGGAGGAGGAGGCGCAGTGGGGCCAGGGAGAAGGGGGTCAAAGGCGCGAGCTTAGGCAGCAGCAACAGCCAGTCCAGTTCAGCAGGTGCGGGCGGCGACTGTCTCAGAGGCTGAGATTCAGAAGTGGACAGAGACGTTCATGTCCTGGAGGCCAGGGTGGGGGGACACAGACACACACAGGTGTTTGACAGTAAAGCAAGAACAGAGCATGGAGGGGCCTGGATCAGTGGCATTTGAGGAGAGACCAGGAGGGAGGAGGGAGCCAACCCTGGGGGTGTCTGGGAAATGAGTGATCCAGGCCAGGGGAGCCGCAAGTGCAAAGGCCCTGTGGTGGCACCAGCCTGTTACACTCTGAGACAGGCAGGGGCAGTGTAGTAAGACAGGAGGCTGGGGGAGTTGAGGGCCAGTTCTTTGCGCTTTCTGAGGCTTCTGGAGACTGTTGCGCTATAACCAAAGCACAATCCAAGAGGCAGCCACTGGTAGCAGGGCTACCAGGAGGAACTGAGTTGTAAGTTCTATTTCATGAATTAATTCCTAAACTGCCTGTGGGTAGTGGGTGCCTCTTGGACACTGACTGTGAGCCTTGGGGTGAGCTGTGGCCCGGGGTTCTTTCAGGGGGATCCTTGGACGGGGACAACATCCTCCCCATAACCCTTAGGACAGAGCCTGGGTTCTCCATCAGTCTGGATGTCACAAGGAAACTGGCCCTGTCCCAGGTGAGAGCCAGGCGTGGTGGCGCACACCGGTGATCCCAGGACTAGGGAGGCTGAGGCAGGAGGATCGCTGAAAGTTCAAGGCCAGTCTGGGCTGCACAGGGAGACCCTGTCTGAACCTCCTCCCATAAGAAAATAAAAGAAAGTATCCATACCTCAGACAGACTGGGCACCTCTCACTTCTCTGGGCTGAAGGTCAGGGAATTTTCATACATTTCAATAAAACTAGAGGGGTTTCCCCCGTGGCCAGGGCTTCTGTCAGATGGCACTGTGGGTGTCATGCAGTGCACCATGGGGTGGGAAACTGGCCACCTCTCAGGTCCAAATCCCAGGGCTGCTGCTCAGAAGGCTGTACGACTATTTATTTATTTATTTATTTATTTATTTATTTATTTATTGTTTTTGAGACAGGGTCTCACTATGTAGTTCAGGCTGGCCTCGAACTCCTAGTGACCTTCCTGCCTCAGCGTCCTGAGTGCTGGGATCACAGGAGTGTGCCACCACGCCTAGTCTGAATGACCTTTTAGACGGGACATGAGACCAGAGCGTCCCTGACTCAGTTTACCATCTGCTCAGTGGGCTTAATCCCAGGAACCCCACAGAGGGAGCGATAGGGAGCTGAATGTGGTACAGTGTGGGACACAGAGCAGTGCACACCCCATAGCCAGGACCCACAAATAGAAGTTAAGCAACACGTTGCATGGATTAAGTAATTGTCATCTTCATATTAATTGGGGGCTCAAGGAATATCTCCTCCGAGTAAGCTGGCCCCCTGTCCTGAGTTAGAAAATGGCTCTGATAGGTGAGCTACAGGGCCACTGTAGTAATGGGAAATTAGCAGGGCTCTGCAGTGCACGGGCCGAAGTGCCCAGTCAGCACACCCACGAGGCACCCTCAAAACCAGTCCTCAGGCCCGGGGATGTAGCTCAGTGGTTCTGGCGCCTGCTGCGCAAGCGCAAGGACCCAAGTTCGGTACAAAAAACAAACAAACCAGCCCTCCCCTTCCTGCAGAATTTCGACTTCTTAGATTTGTTTGCTATTTTTATTCTGGTGGCGATTTCTTCCCCAGCTCCTCAACCTGGGCTTCCTTATTCAGGGGCAAAGCCTTGAAAACCATGGCAGGCGGACACCCAAGACCCCCTCTAACCCAGGAGTTCTCTGAGGCCGGACCTTAGTGGAGAAAGCCCCTCCCCAGCGCCTCTCTCTGCAGGACCCCAGACGCAGTCCTGTCCAGGAGTGGGTGGCTGGGCCCCCTGGACTTCCTGCCCCTTGGGGCTACGCCACCCCTCGGCTCTCACAGGATGCTTGAGTTCCCTGACCCACCACTAGGGGGAGCTCTTCTCAGCGAGGGGAAGCAGTGGGCTTTGGGTGACCCCTTGGGTTCCTGCCATGTATTTCTAGCCAGGAAGGAAGGCCAGGAGTGGTAGCTTTCTTCTCTCTGTTTTTGAGACAGGATCTCATCATGAAGTGCAGGCTGGCCTCAAATTCCTGACCCGCCTGACTCAGCCTCCCAAGTGCTGGAGTGTTTCTACTTCTGGCCTTTGCCACTCTCCCCCTCTCTTCTCTCCCCCTTTTCTCTCTCTGTCTCCCCTCTTCTTCAGTTCTGGGGATTGAGCCCAGGGTCTTCACCCTAAGCTACATCTTCAGCCATTTTTTCATTCTTTATGTCTAGTCCAGGTCTTCTAAGTCACTAAAATGCCCACACTGGGCTTGAACTTGTGATCCTCCCAGTGTTTTGTGGTTCCAGGTGTGCACCATCCTGCTCGGCCTTTTTTCTCTTTTGAGCCAAGATCAACTTACTATAAACTTCAGCATTTAAAGTGTACACTTCAGTAGGCTTCAGGACATTCACAAAGGGATGCGACCATTACCGCTCCCTAATTCAGGGTGTATCCATCCTCCTTCGTAAATTCTCACTGTTGGACGTCACAGCCCCATGGAGCTCAGTACTCCTGGGCTTGCATCTGGAAGTCTCCTGAGCACTTACAAAGTGTTGAAAAGATCATCTCAGAGTGGGAGGCCAAGCAGGTGGCACCACCGACTCTGGGTCTCCATGAGAAAGCTGGAGACACTGAGGCTTCCCAGGGTCCATGGTGGCCACACCCAGGAACACGGTGACACCTGTCCAGGCCCCCTTGCAGCCTGGCGGGGAGGTGTAAGCTGCAGGTGGTGGATCGGGTACCGCCTGGATCTACAGGGAATCACAGGTGGGCTGGGGATCTCAGGCTGTGTTTTGCAAATGGCCCTGTTCACAAAATCCTTCGTAAAGGAGGCAGAAAAGGAGACCTGGATTGATGGGCCTCTGTGGGTAGAAAAGCGGGTAAGAATCAGGTTATTTCAGTTCTCTTGTTGGCAGTCTGGCGTCTAAAGTGTCAACTGTCCAGGGCAGGGCGTCCTGGTGACTCTAAAAGGAAAATAAGAAAAAAAAAGAGCTCAGGAAGGCCTCATGGCCACGGCGGAGGGGGCTGCTGTCCATTAATCCATCCGTTCATTTTTTCCACAGTGTTTATGAGCTGGATGCTGTCAGTGTAGACAAGGACCCGCGCTCAGGCAAACGTGCTAGGTGGAGGCAAGATGCAGGAGCTTAGGAAATCAGAGCTTGGGGTCTCCCAGGCACGGATCTGGAGCCTGGTCCTGCCTGTGATGGTGGCAGTTTTCCCTCTGCGGTCCTCAGTTTCCTTATCTGTAAATGGGGCACGGCCAGCGCTCCTCTCAGACTCATGAAGGTTGCCGGAGATGCCTGTGAGGACTGTCCAAGGTCACAGGGGAGTCGGGACCAGAACCCGCCGAGGGGGCACGAAAGCAGGCCCTTTGCTTGCCCTGTGCCTCCTCCAGGCCCTCCAGGCCGACCCTCCTGAGTCTCGCCGGCCCTCCAATGTCAGGCCCCCCGGGGGTGCCAGGGATGAGCGGCTTTGCCCCTGCCCCCCTCCGCTGGTGTGGGGAAGGGAGGCCAGGCCTGTGCCAGCACCCGCACGCGGACTCCTGACTGCTCCTCTAGGCCCCTTCGGGACAGACAGCAGTCCAGCCCTTCCGCAGCTGCACCCCTCTTAGCCTGGGGAACCCCATTTGCAGAGGGGGGCACTCATGCCTGGCCTCCCCTTGCTCCCCCAGGCCAAGGTGACCACACGCCTGGGCAGCGTTTGCTTCCCTGTCCGCCCAAGGACTCGCTTTGCCCCAGTGCAGGAGGAATGACACTCCCGCTATCTGCCAACACCGAGGCCAGCTTCGACCGCAGCCTGGCGCTCGTGGAGGGGACCCGGCTCTGCACAGCGCGGTCTCCACACGGGAAGGCAGAGGTGTGTGTGTCTCGGTGCTCCCGCCGCCAAGACGGTTTGCTGCTCCTGCTGCGACTTCCGTCCTGTACGGAGCTCCAAGCAGAAGCACTTCCAAGGGGACTTACCGAGACTCTGTCCACTTAGTGCCGGGCGCAGTGGGCCCAAGAGCAGCTTCGCCAGGGAGGCTCCCTGGGTCGGACTGCATGGACCCTGTAAGGGTTGGGGACCTGATGGCAGGCGGGACGCCCCCTTCCCCACAGCAGTGGGCGGCGTCCTCAGGGCTGTCCCGCTGTGACTCCCCCCACCCCGGTGCGTCGGGCAGCGCGCGTGCGCGCGGGACAGCGTGGGAACAGGGAGCAATGCGAGGCGCGCGCCTCCGGGCTGGAGCCCCCCGTTTCCCGGACACTTCGAGGCCAGGATGGAAGCCCGAGCCCCGCACCCCGCTAGCCCAGCGCAGGGTCCGCAGCGCCGCCGGAACTCGGGGCGCGGGCGCAGGGTGCCCGGTCCAGGCCCTGGACGCTCCTTCCCTTTTCTTTCGGTCCGGGCTCCGGGGACCCCGAGCTCTCCAGCGAGGCGCTGTCGGAGAGGCGCCGGGTCCAGCCTCGGGATCCTGCCCCGGAGCAGCCAGCCGGTGGGTTTCGTTTGTTTCTCCCCGGCCCGCTCGAGCCTCGGTCTCTCGCACAGGCTCGCGCTGACGCGGAGGGCGAGGGAGCCCGGGAGCCGGCGGCAGGGGGCGAGGGCGCTGCGCGAACAACGCGCTCCCGCCCTGAAAGCGCCACCCGCGACGGGCGGCGACAGGGAGAAGGCTCGGCCCGCGCCCTGTGCCCGGCGCGGTGGGACCCGGCCGGCGCGGTGGGACCCGGCCGCCCCGCCGTGCGCCCCTGCGCCCCCGCGCGACCGCGCACCACGCTGCGCCGCCCTCGGGGTCCCGCCCCCCTCACCTGGTCTCTGCTGTGCGCTTCCGAGGGAGGGGACGCGGCCGCGCCGTCGGTCGGGGCAAGCCCAGCCCCTCCGGTCGGCTCGCCGGCCTTGGAGACGCGAGCCTGGCGCTGGAGCCTGAGCGCGGCCCCGCCGGGCTTGCCTGGGCTTGTCTTCCGCCCCGGCTGGGCCTCGGCGACGTGAGCGTGCGGATCGAGGGCTCTTGGAGGCCAAGCCGAGTCCTGCAATCGAGCCCGGGCAGGATCAACCGGACGCGGTGCGACCCGCTCTCTGCGCCTGGGGCCCAGGTAAACGCGCGTGTGCTCGGTGCGTGTGCACCAACCTTTGAGTCCTCGTAAGGAGCCTCCTCGTCAGCCCTGTGGCCTCCGTGTCTCAGGGAAAGAGCTTCCGAGAAGCACGAGATGCTCTCTGATTTCATAATCTCTGGAGAAAAAGGATTCTTTTGGACGGTGTCGCGGGGCTGGCTCGTTTTCCCTGGCTCCGTTGTGGATGTGAGGACGCGCAGCCGGAGCCAGCATGGGAAGTAGGGACCCTGCCTTTCCCACGAAGCTCCCCAGCCCCGGAGCTGAGCAAATGCCTCGACCTCCCCGGTTTCCTTCCTCACCTTGCAAGTGGGGGGGACATTGGCCCTGGCCACGCGGGGTCGTGCCGAGAAGTCTCGTGGGTGGGGAAATTGCTTTGGTCACTGAAGTAGCGCTATGTAGGGGTCAGGTCTTTGGGGGTCTTGTTCTAAAGCAGGGACAGAGGGGCTTCCCTCCTCCTGTCCCCAAGGGGAACGTGAGTGCCCCCTGCTGGCCAGCCTGATAGCCGCGGTCAGGAGGGAGACCCCGGAGGGTGGTCCCTGCAGGTTAGGGTGGGCCTGGCCGGCAGCACTCAGGCGCCACTGGTTGGATACTGTCCCCATTTCTACGTCAGGTGGCCCACGGGGCAGGGCTCTGCAGCAAAGCCAGAGCCCGCAGCTTCTGACGCGTGGGCACCGGGCCCCTAGAGCCTGGGGCAGAGTGACACTCCAAGTTGTGTAGGTCCAACTCTGCCTCTGCCTCCGGTTCTGAGACCTCTGGGACAAAGGCCACTGCCCTGAGCCTCTCCCTCCTGCTGGGTTGTAGTGCCCTAGGCTGAGCTGGGAGGAGCTGTACTTTCCGGCACTGCCCTTGAACCTGGGGCCTGCAGGGGCAGCAGCAGGGGTGCCCTGGGGCCATTGGCATCTGCTGCCATGTAGCTAGCAGCCCCTTCCTGACTCCCCAGCCTGCTCTGCTCTCCTATCTAGCTTTCTCTGGGGTCCCCTAGCTCACAGCCCTGGCAGCCATGAGGACTGCACTTAACTCTGCCCAAGCCCCTGATGCTCAAATCAGGCGGCCCCAGGCCCTCCTGAAATAGCATCCTGGCCACAGCCCCCTAAGGCTCTCCTAGGTGAAGGAAATGCTGTCCTCAGCTACGGGACACATGGCCTCTGGTTCACGGAGATCAAATCGTGCCTGAGAAAATAACGAGGTCGGCAAATATTTACTGAGTGCTGGCTGTGTGCGGTGTGCGGTGAGTCATTAGGAGAAACCTGAACAGAGAGGAGGAGGACGGCTTTGTAGGGCGAAGGGTCAGTATGTGCAAAGGCCCTGGGCTGGCTGTGTTTGAAAAGGGACAGGGACGCAGCATGGTGCTCAGTACTGAGTGTCCCACGGAAGCAAGGATGAGGTCAGATCAGAGGCTGCTCTCCAGTGCAGGCTTTGGGAGCTGGCACTGTGCCCGTGACTGACGCCATTTCCATCCATCCCTGAGGCCGCTCCCGGCCCTCCCAGGCCCCCAGCATTCTGGCCAGGACCTCTCTGTAGTTCCGGACCCACCTCCCAGCCCATCTCTGTCACCGGCTGTGTGGATTTGGAAACAGAGCTTACTATGGGTTTTCGCTCCTCATCTGTGGAGTTGGGCTTGCGATAGGACCTACTTCTCGGGGTCGCTGTATGAGTAGTCAGACTGGAGCATCACCTGCGGAACGGCCTGCCAGGCAGCTCTTAGGTGGCATCCGTGACAGAGGCACCTTGCTACCTTTCCCTAAATCAGAAGAGCCAGGCCAAGGATTTAGCTCAGTGGTTCCACCGCGTACCTTGCAAACGAAAGAACCTGAGTTCGATCCCCGGTACCAAAAAAAAATTGGGCTGGGGATTTGGCTCAGTGGTTCCGGGACCTACCTGGCAAGTGCAAGGTCCCGAGTCTGATCCCCAGTACCAAAAAAAACCAGAAGAGCCGTGCAGTCCTCTGTGCTGATAGAATCAGAGAGGTCTGGGTGTTTTTATTTGTTTTTTCTTACATTGCAAAAATTCTTCCCCTTCCTAAAAATTGGTGCTTTCATATTTTCAAAACTAGTACTGCAAATATGTAAAGCAAGTAAAGTGCCTGAGCTGATGCCAAAAAGAAAGGAAGGGTTTGCACAGGGTGGTGTCCACGGCCATACCGCCCTGAATGTGCCAGGAAAGGTGTCCTTTTTTCTTTCTGCCATGCTGGGGGTTGAACCTGAGGTATCACGCATGCAGAGTGCCGCTGAGCTGCACCTCTAGGCTGGGGATCCATTTTGATGGAACTGAGCCACTTCTGAACGCACCTGCTCCCATTCCCCCGCTGTGGGCTGGATACCTTGGACAGGTAGGTGGTGCCGGGCTGGCGTGGGTGGGAGACCCTCCTGCCTCAGTTCACAGAGCCCTTGCCAGGAAAGTGGTGTTTCAACATCCACTACAGGGGACAGTGGCAGAGGAGCCAGAACAGCCACCGGGGAGAAAGGGCTGGCCAGAGTATGAACCCAGGGCCTTTGAAGTGAGCTACATTCCCATTCATTCATCCTTCCATTTATGCATTCAAGACAGGGTCTCGCTATGTAATGCAGCCTGGCCTCGAAGTTTCAGCAATCCTCCTGCCTCAGCCTCCCAAGGGCTGGCATTACAGGCATGCACCACTGTGCCTGGCTTCCTTTGGAACCAGTCCTAAACCACATCCTTCCACCCTGAATTAAAAAGGGAAACACTTCCCGCCTCTCCCCACTCCCCCTGACAGACTCACACTTTCTCTCTAAACGAGGCTCTGACTGCGAGCAAGCGCTAATGATGTTCATCGTGGGAACCGTTTCCCTTTAGGCTTCGTTACTGTGCTGCAGGCTGACACCTCCACTTCTCCCTCAGTATGTGCCGAATTCACTTCGTTAGTTGTGTCTAAGGAAGCAGAGAAATGTGAAAACCATTAGTGGGAGTGAGAAGGTCCCTCAGCCAGGCTGGGCGAGTCTTGTTCTCTTGACCTATTTTCTTGTTTTGGAATAAGGTGCGTCGTGTGGAGCTCTCACCTGTGCCCAGTGCTGTGCCCAGCATTTGGAAAACATCACCCCTCTGCTCCCATCACCCAGCTCTGAGGCCCCCGAAGCTGTGCCCATTTTTACCCAGGAGGGAAACTGAGGCTTGGCTGGGTTGGGTCACTCGGCACCAGTGTTTGGCTGTGTGATGCCACTCAGTCTGTAGCCGTCATTGTCATTGCTGTCAAGCTGGAGGTGCCAGCGTCATGTGGGAGCCACAGTGGGCGTGAAGGTCCTCTGGGACGTTGTCATCATTGTCGTGCAATTGTCATTGCGTTAATCTGTATGTGCTCAGAGCTTGGAGCACACACGTGTGTCATCTCGCCGTGTCTGTGGGTCAGGGGTCCTCAGCCAGGGAAGAGACCTCACCCGCGACCACTCGCATAACTGGTGGCTCCCGGCTGGCAGTGGGCAGCGCTACTGTCCAAAACCCTTTGCCAGGGCTGGGGATTTAGCTCAGTGGTTCCGCTGCCTGCCTTGCAAGCGCAAGGTCCCGAGTTCGATCCCTGGTACCAAAAAATAAAGCCCTTCACCCCCCAGCCCAGGGCTCTCAGCACAGCGGTTGCCTCCTCTGAGGTCAGGAGTCTCACGGGCTTGGACAGGGTGGGGTGAGTCCAGCCCTTCACTGCATCCTGTGCTTGGAAGGCAGTGGCAGGCCCTGCCCTCCACGAGGGAAGGGAAGGTCCCGCACGGGGGAGGCAGTGACCAGAGCTCTGTCCCCACATTGTGACTCCTTGTGTGGCTCTTCGGTCCCACTGGTTATTTGTCAGGGCAGCAACTGCCAGCCTGTGAGAAAGGGCCGAGCACCCTGGAAGGGAGTGACTGACAGTCACCATCTCTGTGGTTAATGGGCCCCAGGGGTTGTACAAAAGTCAACCGGATGCCACCTGCCTCGAAAACCCAAGGTCCCGAGTTCGATCCCCAGTACCAAAAAAAAAAGTCAACCGGAGCTGGGGCCCTTGAGGCAAAGTCAGCAGAGGGCCCAGCGGGGAATGTCAGTCACACATTCATTGATCCCTCTAGTCACTCATTCATTCATCCACCAGTAATTCTTACATTCACGCACTCATTCATCTATCCATCCACTCTTCCGTCCATCCATTCATCCACTCTTTCATCCATTTATTCATTCACCCATCCATTCATTCATTCATCCGCCCATCCATCCACCCACCCATCCACCCATCCATTCATTCATGCATTCCTGGGTTCACAAGCTGTGTCAGTACTGTGCCCGGCACTGACATAGTCAGGACCACATCCCCCACATCTGGGGCAGAGCGAGCAGAGGGGAGGGTGGGACGCTGTATCTGGGACATCACAGGAGACTTCCCTCCCCATAGGTGTGGGGATCACTCTGGAGTTCAGCGCAGGGACAGGCAGGCGAAGGGAACGGCGTGTGCATGTTCGGAGGAGAGAGAGCAAGCGCATGGGCAGCCCCTGCGGGCTCCCTCCATGTGCTGTGGGGTCAGGGGGGGATAAAGTGTCAGCCACTGTGCCCCACCTCATCGGGAAGTGGAACAAGGAGTCACCTCTTGTGGGTGGTTTGTCTTCTGGGCACAAAGCACCTCTGGACAGGACCCTCTCAGAGCCAAGCAGATTCCTGGGAAACCCTTGTTTACTTGTCTGTTGTTGTTTGTTTGTTCTTGTTTTTGTTCTGAGACATGGTCTCTAAGTAGCTCAAACTGGGGGGCCAGGGATTTAGCTCAGTGGTTTTGCCCCCTGCTGCGCAAGTGCAAGGACTGGAGTTCGATCCCAGGTACCAAATAAATAAATAAAAATAAGTAGCTCAAACTGGCCTTAAACTTTCACCGATCCGCCTGCCTCAGCCTCCCAAATGCTAGGATTACAGGTGTGCAGCACCACACCAACCTCTTTCTTTTTTTGGACAAGTGGTAATCAGTGAATTAAAACACTTGCCTGAGGCACCTACCATAGTGATCTCAGCCCAAACCACAG